CAACCCTAATTATTCTATGATTCTATGACATGGCGTTCAGCAGAGCAGGTTGCTCACAGAACTTCCTAATATGGGTCTCTTCCTTTCTCAGAGAGGCTGGAACCAGTGTTGACAAGAAATATGATGGTGAATGTAAGAAGGAAGACACTACAGTAAGTGAACTCTGATGAGCGACCATGTTTCAGTCCTGCTGATGTCAGGTTAAGCACTATCTGCAGCAGCCCTCAGACCAGCAGCATCCCACAGGGATTTAGCTGCTGCTGTGCTTCAGCACAGGGAAGATTTGGCTTTCTCCACATATAATACACAGTATCCATGCTAATGTCAGAAAAGGAAGAGGGTGACTGCACTGAAAGGGATGAGTAAAAGAGGATTAACAGAAATAATTCGTTAAGGCAGAACTGAGAAGAACATAAGGTCTTCTTTTGGGGTCAGACCAATGGTCCATCATGCCCATGATGGCTTGATGCAGAGCCCACTCTTAGCAGGGGTTGTAAGGATTGTGTAGGAGAGAGTAAGAGTAAAGTATGTATGATGTATGGGGCTTCTACTCTTCCAACCTTCACCTATTTTTCGGGTGATGGACCTCAGCTAGCTGCAATTTCTTTGTAGTCAATAAGCTTATGAAATTTCTCAGCCTCTTCCAGGACCCATACACATTTTTTGCACTGCAATCCTCAGCAAGTGTAGCAGCTGCTGCACATGAAACAAAATCCCACTCTCACAGTATCTAGCTAAACACTGATCTTCCTGTTTTAAGACCACAAGAGAGATACTGGACCCTTACACAGGCATCAGCACTTACAGTTCTCCAGACAGCAGGGTTTTTCCATTTAATTTCCTGGCCAGGTTTGGAACACAGTACAATGCGATTACGAGCAAGGCACGTTGACAGAGTGAATTGCTGCTGCTTCGAAATGCTATGGCCAGAGTATCATACACATCTCTTCAAACAGGAAATTATGATTTATTTTTATATTATAAAATTCCTCTGGCATAGGAGAAACTGACACCTCCGTTTATATCAGATTGTGCAAGGAAGTTAATTACTTTCAATGAGATTGTTATCATTAGCACTGCAGCTGTAATGAAGGATTCAAGCCCTTCTTCTGGTGACTCCTTCATCTCCTTCTAATATGAAGACCTTTTCTTTTCCAGGTTGACTGCAGTGACTACCCTAAACCTGTTTGCACACTGGAGTACTTGCCTCTCTGTGGCTCTGACAACAAAACATACAGCAACAAGTGTAGCTTCTGCAATGCGGTCGTGTATGTACAAACATGGATCACATTCCTTTTATCAGTTGCCTTTTAAAAGCACAAGTTTGCACAGTTGCCACTTTCTTGTTTCCTGACCAGTGCTGAGTAGGAATTCGGGGCAGGAGAGAATACCAGTCATCATGCCAACTATTCATTTTTGTTTCCATTAGAGGATACAAAGAGCTGTGTCTGGTTTGTTAGTGTGAATTGTTTGAAGACCATTCATCTTTATGGAATTTTTCTTGCATGTTGCAAAGAAATGAAATTTGAAGTTTCATCACAGTTTAAAAAAAAATACTTTCAGTCTTAAGAATGGGTTAAATCATCTCACTCATCTCTCTGTTAATGGGACTATGAGTCTGTAAGTTCTTTGTCTTTGGGGCAGGATTCTATCTGCCTTCTCTAGGAGCTAAGGAAAAGGACAGATTATAGCAGGCAGGACTCTGTCTAATCCATTTTTTCCTCTCCTCGCTTTCAGGGACAGCAATGGGACTCTCACTTTAAGCCATTTTGGAAAATGCTGAGTATCAGTGCTGAGAGAATTCATCACATGAGCTCCACTGGCAAATCCCAACTAAAAATCTCACCTCAGTTCATCTTGCCTTCTGGGGAACTCAGCTCACTCCTGATTTTCTTTCTCAATAAACTAAATCAGCAACATTTCTTTGCCTTGTTTCATGTGTTTCATGAAACATTTTCTTCTGGTTTGTTGAATGATGATGCCAGGCTGAATAGGTTATGTGCTGATAGCTCTGGGATATAACAAAAACAGCATTTTGCTCCCTTCCCTCTCATAAAAGGCACAAAATTAAATATACACGCACAAACCTCAGAGCTGTGTGACTTTTCACATAAATGATAGTCAGCCTACATTAGTGTTCAGACCCTTTCAGATGTTTGACATTGTAAAGGGCTGAAATGCTGCTCTGAAGTGATGACACCAGCTAACCTACCCTTAGGCATGTTTGGTGCACCTTCCCTGTGCAAAACCTGCTCAGTCTGTGGTGGTATCTTCACCAAGAGCTGATCCCTGGCCTCCTGAGCACAGCCCTCACCTGAAGCATAGTACTCTGCAAGGGCTGTCTGTTAGCAAAGCCTGGGTTTTTCAGACACTGCCTATGTCTCTGGGTCCTACAAATGACTTATTTCTAGGTTTTTATCATCTTCAAATCATCCTTTAACAACCTCCAAATGTTTTAAGATAAATGCCATCCTAGGGATGGTTCCTACTCCTGCCTGCTTGTCTCCTTTCCTAGTCTTTGATAACATAACACTCTTTGCCAGCCCAAGGAGTATCTCAGCAGTGTTTCACAATCCAAAGAAAAAACATCCTTCTGTTTTCTGAGAGTGTGACCTGTCATTGGCATATTGTCCATGAAATTTATTTTGCTTTTGTCATCTGTTCGGATATTGAATTGGTGGGGTTTTGACCCACAAAAGAGAAACATAAATAAATTGGGCATATCCCTTCTAAAAAGTAGTATCTCCCATATGCACTGAGCTGAAGGGAGCTGACGGGAGGAGGGCGCTTGTTTTTCTTGATGGAATGAGGTCATCCAAAAAAGCGATGCTTTGGTGGTAAAATGAAGGATTTATATCGAGATGGGCAGATGGATGAAGCAGCCATTTCCAGATTGGGTTCAACTCTTCTAGAATCCAGGCTAGGGTCTCACATCATTCTGTCAGCATTGGTCTATCAGTTCATTAGGGCAAACCTAACCCACACTGCTAATGGCTTTTAGGGGAAATAACAATTGTAAATTCTTTGCATATGCCTGTAAAAGTTGCTTCATCTCTTATTCAGTCCCTTTGGTGTCTGGGAGACTCTCTTGCTTGCCTTCCCTGCTCACTGCTTTCCTGGTTTCACTATCGCTTCATGATGCTTTACAGGGATGAAGCGTGAAAATACAAGTAGAGACTTTTCACTCTGGAAAAGGTTCATTCAGTGTTTCGCTCATGAAAAAGCACCGCACATGAATAGGCGCTGATATGTGCACACAGAGGAAACCTGACAGCAGCTGCTGCTTAGGTTTGTACAGTTGCTCTTCTGCCCACAGGAATTTTCTATGGTCCTTCAGAAGGAACTTGTCATGTATTTCACTTAAAATAACACCACAGAGGGTGTATCAAACATATCTAAACTTCTTGTGGCTCCTGTTGATGAAGAAGTATTCTTCCTGGCTTACAGCACGGCTTACCTCTGTTGAGACTGCCACCCTGACAAAAGAACAGGAATATTACTTCAGAATAAGGGTGGATGAGCCAAATCCAAATGCGCACAGACTCATGTGCGTACATGAGTACATATAGTGTGGTTACCACCTGAGGGCAGAATTAAGGTGATGTTTACTGAGCAAAACACAGGCTCCGCTGCACGCAGATGCTTCAGCCACCATGAAGACAGCAGGCGTGTTGCTGCTGTTTGCTCTAGCCCTTTGCTGCATCCCAGGTGAGTAGCTTTACTGCCTCCTGCTCTGCCTTTGAGTAAGCGCTGGCTGTTTTTAAAACCACAAAAACATCCTCAGACTGGAAAGAGCTTCATTCTACAAGGACTTATTTACTCCTAGAAAGATAGTGTTGAAAAGACTTGACATCAAAGACTATCACTTATGGGGTAATATTTTAGCAACAGAACTGAGTGGGTAAGAACAACTGTGGGAACAGCTCTACTCTCAGCGCTAGTTTATGCATAATGAAAGAAGTGACATGTACGTGGTATAACCCAGAGACTCAGACATCCAGCATTTAACCTCTGAAATGTTGCAGAAACACAAATTATTTTACTGAATGAGAGAGAACGTTTCTTGTAGTCATCCTGAACTGAGATGCAGTCTGAGAGCCTGAGCAGTTGTAAAAGCTTCATAGAAGTTACATCTCACTAAATACTCCTTGTATTTAAGAACTGTTGTGGCAATGCATACAAGATGCTACCTCCAATACTTGCCATTTTTATGACCCCGTTTGCCTCAATAACTTGCTTAGCTTTGAGTGTGTCCTGCTCCATCCTTTGAATCATGAAAAATGTTGTTCTCTTCTTTCATTTTGTACACCCTTTTCCATTTTGGCTGCAACCCTCATTAAAAACCATTATTCTACAGAGTCAATGTTGCAAACATATAACATACCACTAAATTTTGCCTGAAATTCCTTCTGTTTAAGAAGTAATTTGCTAATAGTGAGTTGAAAGTTGCATATTCAGGGCATTCATTCACAGGTTTTAACTCTAACAGAACCCATGAATTGCATTTGTATCATATTTTCTTCTTTATTTCTTTTCTTCCAGATATTGGTGCACTGCAGGTAAGGGATGGATCTTTCTATTTTCCATCATGTCTTTCCTTAAAGCAGTTTCTGTATAAATCCTTACTAATCACATTGTGATAATAATTTGAAAATCCTGAGCCATCCAGCTGTCTGAGCAATATTTGTCACAGATATTATTTGGTGAAATTGCTATTTTCATCTGATGATAGTTTCAACAAGTAGTGCAGTATTCAATTAGTGTCCAAGTTATTGTCTAAGATACTGCAGCAGCATTTACGATGGTTACGCAAACTTTACATTGCTGGAGGCAATGAACCACTGTACTCCTGCCCTGTCCTTGGGCTTTTTCTCAGCATCTACTTCTGGCCAGTACCAAGGGGAGCTCAGAGTGTGTGTGGGGTCTCCTAATGTCACTTTTCATACATATCTGTTGTTGAGAGCTTTTTTGTGAACATAGATTACATCTATCTACAGGGCTACTGTAGGAACTACGTGGTACCTAGCGATGTCTGCACTATGGAATATGTCCCGCACTGTGGGTCTGATGGTGTAACATATGGCAATAAATGCTTATTCTGCAATGCATTCCTGTAAGTATGAAAATAAATCTCTTCACTAACTAAATGGCAAACTAACTTAGCTTAAACTAACTAATCAGTCTTGGAGACTGGTTGGACAACTGAAGTTTTCTTACTTTGTGTTTATCTATTCCCTTACTAGCAAGGGTCAGTTTTTATTGGGAGAATTTGCCAGAATTCCTCTTTCACATATAAAGATAAACCATTTAGTATAGTTTTTCATTTCCCTCAAGTAATTTGCTGAAGAGCTTTTTTTCAGCAAACAAAGTCTATTTCCTACAGACTATTTGTTCTTCCTTTAAATTAAGTCTGTATCTTGTCTTTGAAGGTTAGTAATAAAAGGAAATAGCTGGAATAGCATTCAGAAGTTTCATATTTTGTTTAAGCCCCTGTACGATATATCTTTCACCAGAAGGAGAGGCAAATATTAAAAGCCCAGATACTCTGTCTCTGAGTTACTGATTTCTTTCTCCACAGGAGAAGCCGTCGGACTCTTCGCTTGAGATCTCTTCGAAAGTGTTAATTTCCTGACAGGCTTCAGCTCATAAAGAGGAATCCTCCCTGGCGCTGTTCCCCATGGCAGATGCTCCCCTAAAGCCTTGTCCTGAACCTTGAAAGCTCCTGTTGAATCCTGAAAACCTCTGCTTAATAAAAAAGCCATCAGCATTTATGTTTTGCTTTAATAATATGTCTCATTCTGTTTTTACCTAAGATGTTGCATGATTACATCACTGCAACAATCCTGGGGTGCGGATATTAACGTGAAAATTACAGGGAGATAGATCTATAAAGAAATCAACAAAACCGCAAAGGCAGTGGGTAGATCTTGAGGGCATCTGCCGTCATCCAGCTTTCCAAAAGAAAACCAGGGCTGGAGATGCATCCTGGTGCAATAGTCCAAATGATTTATTCCACTAAGGGCATCTCAGACAGACACTCTCTGGGTGAGAGGAACTGTCTGCTTCCCTAACCACTGCTGTCAAATACCTGCTGCCTCTCCCCTGCATTACTGTATGGGAGACTTGGGCAGCACAAAGAGGCCCCAAGCAAGCCTGAACATACAAGTAGTTAGAGACAGCCCCAAGATTGTTGCAGTTGGGAGTGTTTTGTGGCTGCTTTGCAACAGCCATGGAGGCACAGAAGGTCTTGATGTCACCAGGAGCTGCTCAACCCTGTTTCAGTTTCAAGTGTCAGCCCCAATATCTTATGCCCATGAGAGGTGAAGAAAGGCAGTTTCCCAGCTGCATCTCTTCCTCTTGCAAGCAGGATTGGAAAACCACCTTTAGGTGAGAGAAGCTCTTTTGCAATCTGCTCAGCTTCCCAAAGCAATGGGACAAGATGTTTTTTCTGGGCAGGCAGATACCTGGCTGCCCACGTTCGTGTTTGCAGTGTTCATCACTGCGGGGGATTGCAGAAAACTAGTGGGCAGTCAGTCCTAACAGACCCGATGTTCAGAGGACTGCTAGCACTTGCTATTGCAGCCCATTTTGCACCTCACCCACCACTTAGCTGCTGCTTGTAGGTAATTACGTCGACTGTCCTTGTTTGTAGAGGATCCTTTGAGATTTTTCGGCCTCCAGAAACCTCGTCTGATGAAAGGAAGGGCTCAGAGTCATAGCGTTAATTTATTATTCATTAACAGCAAAGCGCTGGCAGTGAGGGATGCTGTACGGCAGCCTTCTCCCAGTCAAATAGTTAATGATCTTAAGTGACAATGTGTCACTTTCCAGAGACTGGAGAGAGCAGATCTCTGAAGGGAGGCAATTTGTTTGCAAAAGACATGACTCTGCAACCATTTAGTGCCAAGTCCCTTCCCAGGGCTCGAATGTCTCTCCTGTGAGAGAGAGGTCTGTGTATGGGAAGGAATTTCATTGTTTGATGCCATTTCTTAAGACCAAGGCAAATTGAGGTTCTGGGAGGTAGTGCCAGTGGTGTGTGGCTCAGTGGCTTCATGTTCCTTCTTGCCCCCCTCATCTGAGTGAAGGAGTTGGACGTAAGAGAACACCAGCTCCAGCACTTATTTTCTTTCTGGGAGACCAGCAGAGAGGATGAGGATGGCCCCCAGAGGCCATGATATCTTGGAAACAAGCAGATCTCCTGACTGCACTCAAGATCCCAGTGGTCCTGAGAGGGGATCTTCTAGGGGCCGTGTCCACTAAGTGGGAAAATCCACCAGGCAATTGAGGGGAAACTATGAGCAGAAATGAATGGGGACAAATCCTCCACTCAAATGCAGAGTTACACAGTACTGCTCAGGAGTAGCCAAGGGCACAGCAGGCAGAACAGGACCCCAGCAGCACTCCCAGCCCCCTGACCCAGAGGGTCAGCTCTTTAGCATGGAGAGGAAGACAGTCCTCTTTTATGGCCATCTCGTTGGAAATAATTTTTTTGTTGCTGCTCAATAAAATCCTGCCACAACAACACAAAATCCTTTCTCCATTACTAATCTAACTCTCCCTCCAGGAAATTCAAGGCAGGAAACATTGTCTGCCTGCCGAGGTATTTTATGATACAATTCTTTAAGCAGTACCTTGGCACTTTATGTCATTATCTGATGTTTGTGAATTTAGGAAACGCCATTCAATTACCTCACAACCTGATTAACACATTGCATGTAGTTATTTTGTTCTGCTCTATTTTATATCAATGCTTCTGTTTTAGTGTATTGTTCTACTTGTTGCTGGCCAAAATATACCTCAGGCCAGTCTAGACCTTTCTGTTAATGCAGTTTCTCTCTGAGGCTCCATTCAAGATAATCGGTTTGTTACTATGTTCTTTCTTGATGCAGAGAAAAATAAAATGATGTTTTAAAAGAAAATTACTCGGAGACATCGTTTCTGGGGGCTGTCTGTGTCAGAGCTATTGCAGTGAGGCAGAGCTGAGATTTGCTCAGGGTTTGGGATGCGCAGGGCCAGATCCTCAGTCTTTTGCTGTTAGTATGCAGCTCCCGGATAGTCAAATTATTCCAGACATCCTTGCCTGTGATATCATCTGTGCTTAAAAGATTGGCGATATGCAGGCAGCAATCAGATAGCTGAACTACAACGAGAAATATTAGATGAGTGCAGCTTAAAGCAGGGGCTTTGCTTGCTGTAAATTGAATTCATGTTCTCATAGAAGATCCAGTTCTGCCCCCCTGTGCAGAGGTCTGGGAACAGCAACCTGTTTTGGAGCTCTTGCAGTGTGCCACATTGCGAGTCAATGGCAAAGAAACGCATTTTGCATTTGTCCCTACAGTAGCGTAGACTGGAGCATAAAACCACTTTATTCTTGATTACAGTGTGGTGTGTGACAGCAGGATACAGGAACAAGGGCAATGGTAATTCTGGAATAACAACATGTGGTCTTGCATGCACACATCCACCTTTTTTATTTAAAAAAAAAAAAAAAAGTATAATTTCTCTTTGTAGCCACATGAAGCCTGTGACAAGTTTTTAACTAAACCAGGGATAAACAAAGAATTTTTTAGGTCTTGGTAGATTATGGACTTACTTGAGATTGGGAGTCTCAAAACCAGAGGAAAAGATTCCCAGGAAAATATTACTGCTAAGGGAAGAAATAACATTGGAATAGAAACCGGGTAGGTTTTCCAGACTTATTGAAAAATTATCTTAGTACAAGAGGATCCATCATATGACTACCAATGTTTATCACATTCGTGTGGCCACAACCTTCTTGAATATTTGCCCTCTAAGAACTTGAAATAGGAGGAAGAGTTTTATTTAAACTTCTCTGTGAAGCTCATATCTGTAGAAATGTTAAAATAATGCTACGCCCGAAGTCATTTTACTGAGCCCACCATCAAGATACTCTCGAATACCACAGAGGGGTTTTGCCAGGTGGGACCAGTTTGCCCTTCCCAATAGCAACATGTGTCTGACATTTCCCAAAGCTCACTCTTCCAAATGCATGGAGACAAGTTGTTTTTGACTGCTCCTAATACCTGTTTTCAACCCATCTGCTTCTCCGCAATTACTGCTGTCCCATTGCCTCTGTTTCTTATTAACGGAGCTCCTTGTGCAATACCACATCATACCTAGCCCAGAAGCTTTCACTGCCCTGCCTGCTGCCAGTTATTTCCCATCCATCCTCATAGACCCTATAGCAGGATTCTTTCCTTGCTTCTCTTTTCTCCCTCCTGTCCTGTGAAGTGGCAGGGATTACTGGAGGAAAAGAGCTGCTTTTGGAGCAGTCCTGGCTGGCCACCCAGACCCTCAGAAGCAGCACAGGTATCTGAGGGGGATCTCCCCAGTGGATCTATCAAAGGGTAGGTGTCGGCCAAACATGAGAACAGTGCTGCTCCCTTAGCAGTTACATTGCCATACACAGCTCCTGAGCGACCAGAGTGATTTCAAGCCTGGCAGGAGAGGTAAACTGGTGAAGTAGCACAATTTCTGGTAACTGGGGGTCTCAGCTGTGGAGATGGATATGGAGAGGCTTGGGTTGCATGGCTCAGGAGGGAACAGACTACATTCCTGTAGCCTCACTAACCACTGCGGAGCTGGCAAATGCCATCTCCACCAGCGGCTGGTACAAGTTCTGAGGAAGCCTTGTTTTCAGGCTTTGTCATTTTTGCCCCTGGAGAATAATAAATGTTAATCCTTCTGTGATTACTGTTTCCCTTCCAAATATGCTCATAATCAGTTCAAGGAATCTGAAAGTCAAGTTACTCAGGATGTTAAGAATACAACAGGAACCACTTTCAAAGGAACCCTTCAACTTGTGGTATTTGTGAATGAGATCCAAATAACATTATTCATTTATTTTTCAGGAAAATGATTTCATTGATATAAACAGGCCAAATCCCGCAAGCTGTATTTGGTGACTACAGTTCCCTTACACTTTCAGTTACATTTCTATGATTTATCTGCCCACCAAGTCTTGAATATCTCCTAGGATAATAACAAAACCAATTCTATTTTCTATTTAAAACTCAGGCTGCCTTTAAGCTTCTTTTAAAGCACAAACATGTTCTGTCCCATATTTGCTTCCGTGACTACCTTAAATCAAAAGTGTATTATTTTATGCAATATTCCTTATTTGTTTTTCCATATGCTTGCGATAGAGTTGAACCACTTAACTGTGTCTAGCACGTTATTCTTCATCTATTTTCCATAATAATGACTTTCAGCTGACACTCTAAATGTAATGCCATGTAATAGAGGGGGAAGGAGAAAGCCTAAAGACTCACCTCTTGTTAGCAGCTGTTGCAAATTTTTCTTGAATGTCTTTGGTATTAAGAAGCCCATTTTAGCTGCACAGAATACCACTTGCCATTAAGGGGAAACATTACTCCAGTCCAGATTTAAGGCTACTTTTTCTCATGATTTCTTAATAAGATTTGTGCCCACAGCCAACAGATGAGTAACTCTTGCTCCTACATAGAAATGTCTTACAAAATTCTGAAGTTTTAGGTGATGTTGTCCTGTTAGTGAGAAATCCAATGTACCAGGAAAGTACAGCAGAGAGTATGGAGAGATTCACTGAGCCCTCAGTATCTTTGAAGTATGCTGATGTCTGCCAAAACTGAGATTTATGTCTCTAAAAGCTTAGAGTGTCCCTTGCTGCTGTTTCCCCAGCTCTCCTGTTGCATTCAAATATCCTGGAACCCAAATACCATCTATGGTGGGCATAAATTCGAACACTTTCAATAAATGGAGTTTTTTTCTTCCATATGTAATTTCACAACATCTACTACTGAGACAGTGCTCTTGTTTGGAAAGTACAGATCACTCATTGTACAGCAGGGCGCCTTTGTTAACAAGCTTGGTGTAGCTTTTGTTTAATTCTTCTGGGCATCTCTAACAAACAAGTATTCTTTAAAGCTCAACTCAATAATCAATATACTTTTCTTAGTTTACAGAGCAAATAATTACTTTCTGGGCTGACTTCACAAGGCCAGGGAAATGTATATATATAGTGCAGAGAAAGAAGGCTGAGAATCATCTACTGAACTCAACAGCAAGAGATTCGCAAGTTACAAACGATACAACCGTCTCTGCTATGAAGACAACAAGAAATGTTGCCCTCCTTGGGCTTGTGCTTCTCAGCTGCCTTTCCGGTAAGTTGGTTTTGCTATGCTTCTATCTCTAGTTCTCCTGAACCTTTGCCTTTATATATATATATCCTAAAGGAGGGTTCCCCCTTTTGGAGATGTGATGTTATAGTAATATGCAGGCTCTCTTTTAATGAGCTTAATCCTTGTGCCGATAAATACTATAGATAGGTAGGATGCATTCATCTGATTTAAGCTTATGTGCCTTAGTGGGGATAATAGTGCTGCAAAAATAGAAAAGTTTATGTCCTATTTCTTCTTTAGTGAGTCAAAACTTCTGGTTTCACAAATAATTGATTTTTTAAATCTTAGTTTATAAGTTCTTGTTTATTTAGAATCGATAAAACTTGGGCAAACAATTACTTCTCAGGAATGAGAAAGTGTATTTGGTTACTCTGCTGGGAAACTGATGAGTCCAAAGGAATTTTAGTCAAGGACATTGTACGATTTTTATATTTTATAATCTCTGTTTTTATTGTAGATATTGTTACTGCTGAACGACTGGTGAGTAGTAGATTTTCTTTGTCATTTAGTCTTGATGTCTAAGTCTAGATGAATAATTCAAACTTCTACTGTATCCCAGGGAAAGCTGAAAGATAACAAAAAAGGAGAGTGAGACAGAAAGGAAGAAGAAAAGTGCCCTTAAGTACTATGCCACCTCTTTTCCCCAAAATAAGAAACGACCTTTGTCAGAGAAAGATAACTTACCATGTTGATGACAAAAAAGACAGCAATTAATAATGTAGACTGAGAGTCAGCACAGCACAGAGTGCCAGCAGAAAATCTATACAGCTATTGAATAACTGCCTAAATATCTTCCCTGCCTTGATTCCCTGGGGAATGATCTTTTTTGGCTGCAATTCTTGCAGAAAGTACTTTAAGTCTTAATAGCAAAAAGGTGCTTTTGTATGCTGTAAGAAACACGCTATATTTTATTCCCTTTCTTTTTCACCATGGAAGAAGGATAGAGGAGAAAAAAAGACTGACAGTAATCTCCCAAAGTGGAGAAAACATGATTCACATAAGCACACCCTTCTCTCCATTTGGAGACATCACAAGTCCTCTTTGACAGGCCTCCTGTGACATGTACCAGTTCTCTGGAGAAACACAGTTTAACTGTCCTACTGATTACGAACCCACCTGCGGGACTGATGATGTGACCTATCCCAATGAGTGCTCCCTCTGCAGAGAAATCTTGTGAGTATAAGGTCTCCTGACTACCTACAATGCCAGTTCAAGCAGAAGACAAAAGCCTTTGGGATTGTGACTCATCAGGGGGTGGACTAGATTTTTTGTAAGTTTCAGTCTGTCTTAATGCCTGCGATCTTCCATGTCAGAACTCCTGAATCTGATTAATTACTGGGGCTTTATGAATGGAGAGACTTAGTGAGTGAGATGACTGCATGGTATGAACAGAATAATTCTTCCTTTACTTCTCTCTCTCTCTCCCTCTAGCCGTAACCAAGCCATTGACAAGAAGCATGATGGAAGATGTGTTAAGGTACGGTCTGAGATCAGCTCCTCTCCTGGTGCGCTGAGCAGTGGTGGGTGAAATGATGGCAAAGAGTTAGAGAGAAACCTTGCCCAGGATTAATTCTGTATTAAAACCACATGATTTCAAACTGTCAGAAAGGGAATGAAAAATAAGAATTTCAGATTTACAAGAATTCCTTTTACGTTTTGTATGAACAGTTAAATTCAGTGAGATTTAAAACATTATCTTCTCTGTAAAACCAGACTTCAGAATGGAAGCTTTTGTTTTCAATAATACTTCATCATTATCAAACCAGTTTTCTTCAGACTTATACTTAGAGGCTTGTTGAAGCCAAGATATTCCCAGAGGAAGTCTGGATTTTGATTAAATTGCAATTTTGTAATAGAAAAAACAACTCTATCAAAACATTTATCATAAACTTTGTTTATCTATATACGGAGCTACTGTGAAGTGCAGAGCTATCTCTATTTTTAGTTTAGAGAGAGAAAGTAAAGAAACACTCTGGCTGTGCAATTTAACGTAATACAACGACTTCCATTTCAGCACACTCTGAGTAATTGCAGAAACACCGGGGTGAGCATAAATTCCATTTTCAAGTGGCATTGACATTTTGCAGCAAAAGTTGCTCCTGCAGAAGGCATTTTAGGCAAAGATCCTTCATGGTGGCATTCACTGTGAAAATGCACAAGATGATAGGGATGCAGCCCACTTCAGGACAGGAAAAAAGCAGATACTCCAGGATTCTGCTGTACCCATGTGCAGGATTTCAACTGTTTATGCCCCTTCAACTCCACCATGCCAGGCCTTCTCTCCCCTTGCAGCTCTGGAATGGGAGGAAGATGTCTCTTGTGCTTTGCCCCATTACTAATACAGAAGGGAGCAGAGATTAAAATGTTGTTCTGTGACTGTTTCAGTTTGACTGTAGTGGCTACCTGAGACCACTCATCGGTCGTATGAACCCCTGCACCATGGAGTACATGCCCATCTGTGGCACCAATGGGATTACTTACAGAAACAAGTGCCACTTCTGCAATGCTGTGGTGTAAGTGGAGGGCCTGGGTCATGGGAGGGGGTTCTGGATCACTAGGTGCTCATGTTGGTATTTAGAGTGTAATGAGGTAGTTTGACTCATGAAGCAGCTGCAGTGTGCTCATTCATTCTCAACTTGCTTTCTTCCCAAAGGAATGGACTAGACATGGACCTGAGCAATCTTGGAGAATGCGCCAAGGTAACGCTCAGAAATCCGCACACTGCTGTTACAGTACATTTTACAACATAAACTCACTGAATCATAACTAAATAATAGGAACACCCACACTGTCCTTGCGCATTTGGTCTGGAAAAAGGGTTTGAGGAAAAGAGTTAAAGTATGACAAAGTCTAAGGGCTTTGAGCCAAATTGATGGCTCAGATATGCAGCTGTCCCTCTGACCTGGGAACACAGCAGTGAGCAGATGCTGAGACCTACATTTACTGGGAAACAGGATGAGCAAGAGGTGCTGCCTCATTCTTTCTGCAGGAGAGCAGGAGGGCTGCATACTACCAGCACTATTAGTAGTGGTGATTCCTTGGGTGGGAATGCTGTCTGCAGCGTGGCTTGTGACTATCCACTTTCTGCACACTTGCTTCTGCAAGCCTGCCGAACCACAGCTGCAGCCCTGCTAACCCAGGCCAGCCAGTGAGAGGGCCAGCCTGGGAATATCAGCATGGTTATTCCACTATTTCATAGAATGGTGCTATTCATAATAGTATTTAATAGATTCTTTGACCCCTGCCTTCTCCCCACTTCAGGATGCTCCAAGCAAGCATGTTCTCTGCCTCTGAGCTAGCAGAATTGCTAGAGCAACAGAGCCCTGCACCTGAAAAGTGCTTTCATGCTTTGCCATACCATAAACATTAAATAAACATAAAGCATTCATAGGAAAAGACAGAGAACAAAAGCTTTAAAACCTGTTGTTGCTCTATTATCAGGAGGAGATTGACTGCAGTGAACAGACTGGCAACAATCTCATCTGCTCTGCTGACTATAGCCCACTTTGTGGCTCCGATGGCACAACTTACGGAAACAAGTGCCATTTCTGCAATGCAGTTTCGTAAGTATGGAGCTCACCATAAAAACCTCATGAAACCAGAGGAGCTGGAACACATACACAGCAGCAGCAGCTGGTGTGGAAAGACCAGAGCTCCCGTTAGCCCCTTGGTAAATCCATCCCTGTTCCACTTTCCTCTCCTGACACTTACTCTTCTGTCACCCCCTGGGCACTGCAGATCTAAAGCCCGAGTGAGTCTTCTACTTCCCTTGCAATTAAATCCAGATCCCCGTTTGCAGGCTCATAGCGTTGCTGAGTCCCTCCCTGACAGAGTGATTTAAACTGTGACTGTAAGAGATGTCTGAAATTATGGGCTTTGTCCCAAATGTCTTTAATGTGAGAAAGCATGTAACCTGGGGAATCAGGAAACATTATGTGAAGTACTTTATAAGTCAGAGAGCATTGGCTTATTTGAGGAAAGTTAGACTATAAAACCGAGATCCACATCTGTAATTCTGGTCTCCCTCTTTCTCTTCAGATTGAGTCGGGAAGGTCTGTTCCTCAAGCACCGTGGAGAATGCTGAGTGCTGGAGCTGTACCCTTCACCCTGATTTTTCCCTTACAAATTCTGAGAACACACACGATCGTCCCTGCTCCTTCAACTGTTGCTCATTGGTTTCTGCTTTGATTGATCAATAAATTAAACGCAACTACTCTCTTTGCCATGGACTGTTTTTTTGTTTGGTGGTTTGTTGTTTGTTTTTTCAGGGCAGGGGTAATGGTCTTCAGGCTTTTAGGTACTTATCTGTCAGTCAGGAGAAGTTATGAAATAAACCACAATAAAGAGCAAAGCGTAACACCCATCATACACCAGCCCAAGCCCTCATAAGAGTACGTCACTCCATACCAAACCATCAGAAGAGAAACCAAGCTGCTATAAAATACTGCCACTTTCCCAATTTCCGTGTCTTATAGAGTGTAGATAGATTTGTCGTAGTATCAGCACTGAGTCTTGGAGGAACTGGTCCTTTTAGGGTCCCTGGCACAGGGGGACGGCCCTGGGAAAATGTGAAGGGGAAAGGTGACAGTAGTCAGCCCTATCTGTCAGACCTAGGCAAGGGACAGATCTGGCAGTGTGTTATAGAAAGGAGGCTTATGGCAAAGGGAGGAGGCTATCTCATAGGGAAGAAAATTAGGAACTGCTGCTTCCTTGAAGGGTGTGTCCATTGAGAGTGTGTTGATCAGCACAAAATTGCAGCAAGCTGGGCAAGGCTGTAATGAGCCTAATGAGAACCCAAGGAGAAATTAGACTGGGCTCAGGCTTCTTGGGGAAGAGATTTGAAAAGTTGTGCTGGGGGTATCTGAGGTAGAGATAGGATAAAAGATCTTTCAGGAAAAGAGTCTTGGATTTTCTAACCTGTGGAAAGAAGGGCCAGAAGATGTGCTGGTAGTCCCAAAGTGCTTTGTATCTTGGGAAAAGAGGTACGAAGATAATATCTCTGTGGGAGCCTAAAGGGTGCACTGGAAGACCAATGATATATATGAATGTTCATGATGATGTGCCATCTTTTTGAGTGACTCAAGCTGTTAATAGGCAAACATCACAGGCAAAAAGTCTCAAGAGCCATGGCTCACACACTCCCTTTCCCCACCTCCCATTCTCTTGATATGTAGCAAGAATATCTGCTGCTAAGGCTGATGTTTAGGGCAAAATCTGTGATTTCTAAGCCTTTTCTTTAGCTCTTTTTTCTTGAAGCAGATAATTTCCTGACTGGGAATTCTGTAGGTCCTTCCCCTAGTGCTAGCACAGAACAGTGTTCTGTCCTAGGAAGAGGGGTGGAACTTCTCATTTTCAGTTTTTTTTCTGTTAGCACAGGCTATACAAATCGCATGTCTGTGCCTGGTCTTAAGAAAAGTTAAGCTGGAGAGTCATGAGAGTTCTCACTGATTACCTGGTGTGTGTGTGAAAAATAGTTAAGAAACAGTGTAAATATCTAATGGATGTGAAAAAGGGATGTTGGGACATCTCTCGTCAATTTCTTGTTGGCCATAAGGTTTATAAAGTGGCCACAAACTAGTGGAGTTCTGGCTGTAGCAAGATGTTGTCTTCAATAGCAAAATCCTATGGTGAACATCCTTTGCAGTGGTAGTTTCTGCCTGAGGAAGCCAGATACTGGCTTAGGAGCTCAGAAGACTTTGGAAAAGCCCAAAGAAGAGCTGCTCATCTACTGGACAGGCAGGGCAAATGGCAAGTATGGGTATATGGCTGTAACCCGGATGCTTCGAGAGCCTCTAAACAAGAACTCTTTGGAAGATGGAAAGGTTGTATCACATAATACTTGCACAGCACAGTAAGTACTTGGCTTGACACCAGCAAGACTACACCCTTTGGTCTGCAAAACAAGGTACATATGTCCTTCTTCCATCCCTGATTTTCACAGGAGTCAGAGGAACAGAAAGATGCCCTCACCCATGCCAGCAAGTAATCTGTTTCCAATGCTATAAAGAAGTGGAAAGGGGTAATAACAATAATCACCTGGTTGGTAATTTAGTCTCTTCCTTTCCTCGGCCTGGAAGGGATTGGTCCCTGTGCTACGTATGCTGAGGCTTTAGCCACTCAGTTACACTGCAGCAACTGAAACGTTTGGGTAGATAAAGGACTGAGGCATTAAGGCTGTGGTCGTGAGCAGTGACGTATGAAACGAGAAAAGGCAAACAAGTAGTGCTGTGAGCGGCAGAACTGAGCGTGGTTTTGAACGGCGCTGCGGCTGACTGCCTTGATAACTAAATTATATGAGAGGCTGGGTCGTGAGCTCACCCTTAATAGACATCTGAGAATTCACCTGTCAGTCACGGTTTCTCTGCTGTGTGGGTTTTAAGATGTCTAGCAAGCTGCAAAGTGTAATGCTTCCCCAGGTGTAGACATTCATAACATTGCTCTCATGCAGAAACTCTCTCCCTTGCTGGCTGAGAATGTTACTAGCATCTTTCCTCTGTTGCTAGAAAAATGTCTTAAAATGTGTTTTTTAATTCTTTTCACTCCTATGTCAAATTTGGTTGGAGCTAGTTGCAGATAAAATATTCACTGGGGGAACTAATAACCAGATGTATCTATATGCACTGCTCTCCTAAGCCTTGTCTCCTTAGGTAAATATACTAGCATTTTAAGCTTATTCTTATCTGGACAGATATTTTGCAAATAGTGCAGCTGAACACAAATCCTTGCACAGACTCAGCTGGAAATAGATCTCTGGTCTCCCAGTTCCCCATCAAATTCCCTGCACTGCCACTTGCTGTGCAAGTGGAGCCCTAACATATGTTTGTGAATGTGAAAAGCTGGAAAATACTGACAGCTAGAGTTTAAATAGTTCAGGGGGGAGAGTCAGCAGTCCTATCTGGGACTGTGCACACAGCTATGAGAGCATGTCACACTGGAGTGCTTCTCCACCCCAACCCAACGAATTTAGAACCATCCTCAAAAATAGCCAGGGAACAACGTATAATTGGTTTCACAGACAACACATTCTCATGGTGTGATTTATTTCGTAACGTCTAGTGAGTGTCATCACGCCGCACTCAAAGCCTCGGAGCTGGCATTCAGTGAGGGCCCAGAGAATGAAAATTACCAGCTTCCTCGATGAATCACTGCTTTGAAAATTCACCCTTGTGAGAATCCTGTGACTATTTAGAAAAGAAAAAAAAAAAAAGAGATATTACAAGCCCATCTATCACTCATGTAATTATCCCTTTCTAGGTTTGATGTGGACAGGGCAACATTCCTAAAGCACCATAAACAAGGCCAGGACCAATAATGGCTTTAGAAATGAAGTGGAGAAGTTCTCACAATTAAGGTGGAGAATGAGGACAGCTACGGATGGGCACATAAATACACAGAAAGGCAGGTCTGTGTGTGCACTGTGGCCTCCAGTGCTTAGACGACACCTCCAGCACACATCGCTTGGCTCGGACTAAAGAGCTACCTGCAGCATGAAGGCAACAGGTGCCTTAGTGCTTCTCAGCCTGCTGCTGCTTTCTTTCTTCTCAGGTAAGTGATGTTTTCCCCAGCCTAGAAAAGAAAAACAAACCCCAAGCCTTTCTGATAATAGCAAGCTGGAGAGAGCCTTGATCACTGGATGACAGGCTTGAAGATAAAGCTGAGCAAGGAGAAAATATCTGTGGGACTTGCTCACTTGTATGACATATTTCCGCTCCTCATGTGCCTCCGCAGTGAATAACACAGTGGAGGTGTCACTGGGAGACAGAGCGAGCAAATTTTAAGCTGCTCTTTCAACAAATGTACTGAAGCAGAGCTTAATGATGAGGTTTTTTTGGTGCAAATGTTCACTGGGGAGTTTTGCTGAACCAGTTAGAGAAGAAACTCACTCACCTCAGGGTCATCAGCTCTTGTTTTGATCCTAAGCATCTTGGTACTGGTGTTTTCCTTGGAGATGTGGAAACGTAATTAGATGAAAGTCTCAGCTTTCATTTATGTGGCAAAGAAAAGCTTGAAAATTAAATTCAAATGTCCTCAAGGAGTCAGAGCAAAGAGGGCAAATTAAAAGGAGCCAGCATTTATTTATCTGGAGATTTACACATCTCTCTGATGATCTGGGAAAGCTGAGTGATGATTCTTGAACATATAGGTCACGACAGTGTTATCAATTGCTTATGTCCAGCTGATCCAGCTCTGCAAGGTTTGTAGCGACAGTTACTGAAGAATGTGCAGAACAAGAATTATTCCTACTTGTTTTTCTGTGAATAATTTGAATAAAGAATTCACTTGAGAAAATGGCAAGCTGTGCATGGAGAAAAGAGGTGAATTACTTTGTACACATTATTCATTATGAAATATTCATCTGTCTCTAATTGAGTTTTAATTGGGTCTGGGTTCTGTCAAGAGTGCTGAAGCTTCCTTCTGAGGCCAGGCAGAATTGCAGCAAACTCTGTGATCTCCTATAAAATAAACAGATGTCAAGAGACATCATCACAAAGTCTTCTGTAGCCACATGTAATATTTACAATAACTATCTAATGAGCTATTTTGTAAATAATATGCAGATAGCCATAACAGTGACTTTACAACTAAGCCAGCCCAGCCTAACCTGGGGACATGATAAATACACCAGCACCAGGGATAAAACATCAAAGAGCAATACAGCCAGCAGAAGTCAGGCGGGTTGATGGATGATGATGTTCTAGCTGACTGGGTTGGCTGGGATTTCCAGCATGTGGGGGCCCAAGTGTAGGACAAGGTTGTCCCACCTCCTGCCCAGAGCAACATCACATTGGGCAGTGACCCCCATAGCTGAACTTCTGTTCCTGTGAGAGATGCTGGATATTTGTCCCTCGGTGTTGTGACCCAGATTCTGCAAATCTGCATTCAATCCACTCTTGAGTGTCAGGCTCCCCATTAGAGACATCACAGGGTTGCCCAGTCCCACAACTAGGACTCAACCTATGCGTCTGACTGCAGTCTTTGCAGTGCAGAAATATACAGAGAATAGACTGATTAGCTTCAAGCCCAGAGCCTTACAGTGGGTATTTTTGCACTCTTACTGACCAGCAGTCTTTGTTCTGCTCTGTA